TTTTTTTTAATTTTGTGACAGAAAGTACCTAAAAAGTTTCCAGTAATTTTCAACTCCTATACTGAGGACATTATGTGATGCTGATACATGTCAACTTTCAGTTATAATAGCACATCATTAAGTTTTTGTAGAAGTCAAATAACAAATATTTCTTTATAGTAGATACCTTAATTCTTAATCAACAACGTGTTTAGAATTTTATGCTAATTTTGACAGTTTGTCAAGTTGCCTTTAAAAGTAATTTAAATATTAATTGGTCTGATTGTTTTTAAGAACAATGAATAAATTTTCTTTTGACATAAAAATAAAGAATAAGAAAATATATGAAACTTAAATGAATTTCATTTCCACTCATTGAATTACCGTATAAAGTTGTCGTTCCTCAAGTAGTAATTTTTTTTTTTTTACTGTGCCCCAAACCCTTTACTTATAAAATTACCAAACTCAGGACAGCGCGCTATATTAATCTAAAACCAATAACTACCTTAAGCAGAATGTAACAACAAGTTTAGTTTGAATTTTTTCTTAAATCTGCCTTTCTCGGGTCAGGATTATTTCTTAAATGATCGTTTTATATGTTATTTATAAAAATACTCGTCCTCATCCATTCATTGTTACTGATATATGAGAGCATCTATCAACATATGGAAACATATCTTTGTTTGTCGTACAGCACAAAGCTACACAATGGGCTACCTGTATTTTACCCACAGCAGGTATCGAAACCCAAGTTTTAGCGTTATAATCCCATTACCTTACCACTGAGCCACCTGAATGCGGAAATATCTAGCCCATCTCGTCAGATTGTATCTGAAAATTCTGCGACTTCAATTAACTGTAGATAATGAATCAAAAGGTTTTGATTGTTAGTTTCAAGTTAAAATGTCTTGGTTTGTTCCATTTACTTATCGTTGTAAACATTTTATATTTAGGTTCATAGTTATTGAGTTATACGGACGGCTATGCGCTAGTCCTTGCGTCTACGAGAAAATTCAGGAAAATAACGAAAAAAAACAAACAAGAACAACAAACTACTATTACTAAGAACTAAAACCACTTTAAAGGAACATAAATTGGAAAGAACTGTTGTGAACTTGATTTGTTTGTTTTATTGTTCTGCCCACCGCGAAACCCAATTTTTAGCGTTATAAACCCTCAGACTTCCCGCTGAGCGACAGGGAAGAGGGCGTTGTGAACTTTTCAAAATTCTGTCATATCTTGGCGATGTTGTCGATTCAGATCTATGTTATATTTTGACAGAGTTAATTAATTACTAATGCAAGCCTATTAGCTGTTCAACACTAATGAATTCTAAAGTACGATGAAGCAAAATATTTTAACATTAACAGGTAATAATCTGACTTGCCGCTCAGGAACTAGTGTGTAATGAACTTTGTTGTTCGTTTTAGGACAAAATCTTTTAACATTAACAGATAATAATCCGACTTGCCGCACAGGAACTAGTGTGGAAAACAAACAACAAAGTTCATTAGGACAAAATATTTTAACATTAACAGATAATAATCTGACTTGCCGCTCAGGAACTAGTGTGGAAAACGAACGACAAAGTTCATTAGAACAAAATTTGAAACTGAATTTTTAAGAATAGTATTCGGTTTTTGAGACAGAGAGTGGAACGAAATAAGATATATTTTTATCTGAGATATCAAATAGAATAATGAAATACAGATTTTCTTTTCATTAAACTTCTAAATTTAGTGATCCTGCTCAAAAAAGAAAGTCCGTAAATCATCAACGATAACCTTTAGGCTCTGAAAACACATAGTATCAAGAAAATTGAGCAACACTAGCATTGCAGATTTTTTCAGTATAGAAAATATAAGGCCGCGCGATACCAAAGATAAGAAGAAACAAAATGTTAGAGGTGAGTGAAAGTAACACGAAATAATAATATATGTTTTTGTTATAAAATGTAAATGTTATTCAGTAAAAATGTTTTTCATTGAAAGAACAAACAAACAGTGTAGTAACCGGTTTGGTTTGTTATGAATTTCGCGCGAAGCTACACGAGGGCTATCTGCGCTAGCCGTCCCTAATTTAGCAGTGTAAGACTAGAGAGAAAGCAGCTAGTCATCACCACCCACCGCCAACTCTTGGTATTGACCGTCACATTATAACGCCCCCACGGCTGAAAGGGCGAGCATGTTTGATGAGATGTGGAATCGAACCCGCGACCCGCAGATTGCGAATCGAGCACTCTAACCACCTGGCCTATGTACTACTCTAAAAGTTTGAGGCAGGTTTATGGTAAATAATGACTTTAATATATAATGAGATAAGACTAAATTACTACCTAAAGCTTATTACGACTGATTTATGCTAATTTTGCACACAAAACAAGAATAAGTGAATAAAAATAAGAATACTCGTATTGAGATTAATTCCAATAAGCCAATAATTTCACGAAATATGATTTTTGCAAGCACATCTATGAACCAGACTCATATCGACAGCCAAACATACAAGTATATTATTTTGGACCTGATTAGTATGTTACAGTTACTATAGATATTAGATAACTCTTCAAGCACTGTTGATCTTGTTTTAACCGTCAGGACATAATGTACGTTACATTTACTTTTCCAAACTTTTTTTTATTTTGTGTTTACTATATTACTTATTTGACCGCCATTCACATCTGAGAATAATCAGCTAACCATTGTTAAGTTCAGC